AAGTGTATGTGCAGTTTCCCAAACATCGTCTCGGGGGTTTGATCAGCTTCTTTCTGCTCCTTTTTCTAGTCACTCTGTCGTCTGAAAGGCAATGTAGATTATCCTGTACAAAACACTCGACGCTCAAATCAGAAAAATATTCATGGACAAAGGAATGATGGAAGAAATTAATGAAATGTTTATTTTAAAAATTCATCTTTAATTTTAAATTATAATTTTTAATTCTTTATAAATTATAACTTTTAATTCATAAATTAAACGTCCTATAAAAAATATTTTGAAATTAACTAGAGTAGAAGAGAGATCTCCCAGTTAAGCTTTATCCCATTCTATTTATACAGTGAGCGTCATGATCAATCAATCAGATGAATTTTCTTATTTTTCTTTGATCATGACACATCACCATTTATTCCGAATAAGGGTTCTCCTAAGACGTCCTTTTCAATTATGTTATTCACTTTATACGTGTCTAAGTCTTATTGGTTGTGTTAGTCTAGGAAGAAGGGGGAACACATGTCTCAGTTTTAGGACAGTGTTTTCCCCTCACATGTGTCGTTCCCACATTTTTCTCAACCTCGGTCTATTTCGATCCATTAGAATCCTCTGGCGATATCAATCTAGGCCCTCAATCAAGGTCCATGCATTTCCCTCAATCGAGTGGGGGTATCGATTAGTTTGCTCGGTCTTGCCTGAATTGCTTTTCTCAGTCCTGGTTCAATTTGAATTATTGGCATGTGGCGTGATCCTACTGCGGGAGTGAAAATCTCCTTAACAAAAAGGAAAAAAGAAGTTTGAACAATATTACTATACAAGATGGAATAGCAATAATAAATGTTTTTAAGGGCAATTATGAATCTAAACATATTTTAATGTGGTCAAATATGAAATAACGGATTGCTGCATCAATGCAACTAGAATGTTTTAATGAGTATTTATCGTCCAATTTTACCCATTATAAAATAATTATCATGTGTTGAAAACATGTTCCCTAGGAAATAACTATTAAATTTTTTTTTAGGATTTTCTCTGGTCGGTCTCTCTACCGTAGTACCGATTTATAACTATTATATCTTATTAAAATTACATTAAATTTAAAAAAATATATTAAACAAATAATTTTTAATACATATATGACGACTGAAAAATTACCTATAATTCATTTTTTCTGCCATTATCAAATAAACTCTCCTTTTGTCATTCTAACCAACACATTATTTACTGAATAAATTTATATAAATATATCTCTTCTTAAATATCCTTTTTCTTTTATATTTAATACAATTTAATAGCCAAAAATTAAGATGTTTTTGAAGTATTTGACTTATTTGTTGGTCTATGGAAGAGTGGCACTATGAGCGTGTTTGGTATCATTTCTGTTTTTATTTTTCACATTTTTGAGATAAAAAAGAAGAGATTGAGGAGGAAAACGCGTTTGGAGGAAAAAAAGTGAAAAAATGGAAACAAAAATAGCTTCGGTTTAGTATAAAATGACTTAAAAACTGAAAACGAATTTAAGTCGTTTTTCATTTTTAGTTTTGGGTGGATGCCTTTTTTTTAGGTAAGTAGGTGTGGGCTTAAATAAACTAACAAAGTGCTCTTAAATTAAAAATAAAAATTGTATAACTAAATGGAGTTTCAGTTTTTTCTTATACTATAAACAATCTCTTAATAAAACTACCTAACACATTTTCAAAAATAATTTTTGTTTGAGATTAAAAATCTTTTTATTTATAGTTTCATATGAAAAACAGAATCATTTTGAAACCAATTCCAAACGCACCTAATACTTTTCATTTTTCAACTCCAATAAAAACTGACATAGAAGTGAGTTTTTTAAATTGGTGTTAATTTTCTCCAAATTTGCAATAACATCTAATTAATGAGTCACATTATATCAAGTTTTCTGTACAACTTCCTTGTTTGACATGCTTAACGAGCTAACCATTATTTTCATATCATGCTAAAAATAGTTAATAGGATAATTGCCTTATTAGTTTAATGGCTTTGGACTACAAATTTACCAAAAAACTTTACAACAATGTTGAAGATCTTTTTCTTGAAAAGTAAATTTCCACAAACCCACTATAAAAAGAAATTTGCACTATAAAAAGAAATTTGCTACGTACTGTTTAGCACACTCGGTGGATTCCCAGCTTCTGTCATTTTCCTCCCCCGCTATATCTCAATCATTAGCCCAAATGATTAACGCCTTACATTTCACCAAGTATACATAATTAAGGAAGAAAAATTTTGTATATACCTATAATCAAATAACTATTTTTCTGCTTGGATGGTCCCAAAAAAAAAAAAACAGAGAGAGAAAGAAAAAGAAGCTACGGTCCTACATGGATGCTAAATTCCGTTCTTTCCGCTGATTCGAGTTTAGAATTTGAGTTTTACTACAGTAAAAATCTCTCAGAAACAGTCACATCTAATTTTTTTACTACAGTAAAAAGCTCTCACACAACATCACATCTCAACTCGAATTAAAAACTCAAATTAGCAAACTGAACGAGCACCTACCATATGAAAACAAAAGAATAATACTATTCATTACGTTTATTTTTCATTATTATGAAAAATTGTTCAATAATAACTTTATATGACATTTTGGTTTGTTTGAAACTTATCACGCTATTACAAAAATACCTAAATAAATTTTGTTTCTTGAAAAAAAAAAAAAAGGAGTTAGGGGCAGTTTTAGATTTTTACTTGTTACATACATGGGATAAAGATTAGGATTGTGACTCGTTATAATTTGAAACATGCTTGTGTAGCGATACTCACAAATCTAGTATGGGTTGGGAATTGTTCAAAGATAAATGGAAGAAAGTGTGCTGTGAAGACCAAACTATTCACTTGTCTCACTTGAAAAAGTACCACACTTTGTGGTGGGTTGATGAAGAGTGTATAATAGACTCCTATGCATTCAAGAGATAAGGTAATTAAGCTAAAGTTATGAGATTCTAAAATTTAAGAGTAAAGTGGAGTGATTCTAAAGTTTTTAGGGCATAAGTGTGAATAACTCAAAATTTAATTTTAATTTTACGCTCGTAGAACATCTATGGGAGCCAATATGCCATTTTTCTTTTTCGTTTTGAATGAGAGAAATTCAAAGAATTAAGGTCTCATTTAGTTCGCAGATTCAAGTTTTTAATTCGAGTTAAGATGTAATTTTATGTTAGAACTTTTAACTATAGCAGAAAAAATTAGATATAATTTTTGTGAGAGTTTTTAACTGCAGTAAAACTAGAATTGAAAATTTGAATCGGTGAAATAAATGAGACCTAAGATAGTATGATCTGTGGTGAAAATTTTTACAGTGTGTTTGGTAGGGTAGAAAATATAGAGGAAAGAAAATAGATGAAAGATTTTAGAGAGAAAAATAAAATTTTAAGTTGTTTGGTAGAGAAAAAATAAGAAAGGAAGAAAAATAAAAATCTATGATGCCCATTAATTTTTAATTTTTTTAATTTTAAAAAGAAAATAAGTGACACAAAATTAAATAAATAAATAAAGTAAAAAATAATAATTTTAATCTTTATCATTTATCATATTTTTATTTATATTAAAATATTATTATAAAATATTTTAAATTTAATTTTTTTTTCTTTTATTAAATAATATGAAAAAAATTATTTTACTTTCTTCACTTGTGTATTTCATTTTTTCTTTATTTCTCTTTTCTATCTATTTTACAAAACATAACATTAATGTTCATTAGACAAGTGGAATGGGTGTGCAAATAACCCTTATAATAAAATAAAAATGTAATCATGATATATTTACGAAGATTTTAATATAACAAACGACGTGGAAAGTGGAGTGTGCAGACGTAAGTATAGGCTGTCACCCACGTTCCTAATCTAGAAGCTCTTCAAGAAACAATTTCCATCGTTTTCGTAATTAGCCAATTTTCTTGTCAAAAGTGTGAACAGCTTCAATCGTCTCGTCTAGCCACTTGGGGGTGAAATGAAATTCTCTGGTGCAGTTGTAGCTGCCCTATTTCTGGTTTTCATTAGTGGGGTGTTCACGTGCAAAGTTTAGAATTGTACAAACTAACCCTTTTTTTTTAATTTTTAAATTTTCCTATTTATTGGTCACTCACAGAGACTTAAAAACATTCATTCATTTCACCAATTTAAATTTAGAATTTGATTTTTATTATAATAAATTTTTTTTAAAAACAGTCACATTTAATTTTTTTATTACAGTAAAATTTTTTTACATAAAATCACATCTTAACTCAAATTAAAAATTAAAATCAACGAACTAAACGGGTCCAATATTTACCAATTTCTACAATCTTGAGGTCCCCAGGTGGCCACCAGTTTATCATGTTTTACGCCTTATTCGTTTTGTAAATTTAAATTTTTAATTTAAATTGAGATATAATATTTTTTAAAAATTTTTAACTGTAATAAAAAAATTAAATGTGATATTTTTTATAAATTTTTAATTATAAAAACTTAAAATTAAAAACTCAAATTTATAAAATAAATGAGGCTTTAATAATTCACCTACCTTAAGTCAATTTCTCCTCTACATTTAAAAAAAAAAAAAAGAAAGTAGTTAGTAGAAAACATTATTATCTGAAAAACCATGCTTTTGCAGTAGCTCAACATATCTACATTGATGTGACAGTGTTTATATTAACATATTAAAAGAAAGAAATATTCAAATCATAATTATGCATTTTTTCCCCTCACTTGTTAACTGCCATGTAAAAATCAAGCGAATCCCAAGCAGTTGAAGTAATTAACTTTGGCCCGTTTACTCTCCGGATTTAAGTTCTCGATTTAAATTAAGTTGTGATATTTTTTTAAAAATTTTTAATATTTAATAAAAATATAAAACATCACATTTTTTAAAAAATTTTAACTTCTCCTTATTTCTTAATTTATTATTAGTTTGGTTGAGCAATAGAGTAGACTTTCTATCACGTCTGTCTAATTGATCTAACTAAAGTGTAAAATAAAGCAAGTATAAACAGCGTCCTGATTCAACGTTATCAAAAGCAATTAAGGCCAAATTTTGACCAGAAAGAGCCAGATAGCAATTTCTCCCATTTCACTACTATACTTCCAGCACCAATTTTGGCTCTCACACACACTCTCTTCTCCGCAAATCTCGCCACTCTTCTTTTTCTTTCTTTCCCTTTATACAAAATTCGCTTCCATTTCAGTCCCCACAAAAAAATTAACTAAAAAAAAAAGAAAAAAGAAAACAATGTCCGAAGTTCTTCTCCTCTCTCTGTCGCTACTTCTTTTCTCTTCCTTCTCCTCCGCCGCCGTCGCTCCGCCGCAATCCTATCCCTTCGGTGAGTCACAGCACTTGCTCTGAGAAGTTAACTAACTTTTTAACTGTCATTAACTGTAAAAAGTCTCGTTTTTCTTTTTTCGGCAGGAATTTCCTACCACATAGACTGCGGCGGACCCACCGACTCGACGGACCAGTTCAACACTTCGTGGCTTTCGGACAGGTTCTTCACCGGCGGTTCGACGGCGATCGTCTCCGAGCCGCTCCGGTTCCGCCACTCGCAGGAGAAGACGCTCCGCTACTTCCCCTTGTCGTCCGGGAAGAAGAATTGCTACGCAGTCCCCAATCTCCCCAACGGAAGGTACTATGTACGGTCGTTCACGGTGTACGACAACTACGACGGAAAGTCTCACTCTCCGTCGTTCGACGCCTCCGTCGAAGGCACCGTAGTGTTCAGCTGGCGGTCGCCGTGGTCGGAGGACCTCGCGCGCTCCGGCGCGTACTCCGATCTCTTCGCCTTCGTCTCCGACGGCCAGGCCGATGTTTGTTTCTACAGCATTGCCACTGATCCGCCTGTAATTGGAACTCTAGAGCTCGTCCAGGTCGATCCGGAGTCGTACGACTCCGGCTCAATCGTAAGAGATTTCGCTCTAGTCAACTATGGCAGGCTATCCATGGGGTCAGGACAATGGGGACCGGGATTCAGCAACGACACTGACCTCTTCGGACGTTCGTGGCAGTCCGACGCCGATTTCCTTTCCCCGGAGACAAAGAAGTCCGCAAAGGAAGTGACCACGAGGAGCACGATTATCGCCGGGACCGAGCGGAGCCCTAACTATTTTCCGATGAAATTGTTCCAGACGGCGGTGAAGGCTGTCGGTGCCGGGGCATTGGTGTACGAATTGCCGGTAGACGCGAAGCTCGATTACTTGTTGTGGTTCCATTTCGCGGAGATCGATCCGGGCGTGACGAGGGCGGGACAGAGAGTGTTCGATTTGGAGATCAACGGGAAGAATGTGAAGCAGATTGATATATTCAAGGAAGTCGGTAGCTTGCATGCGTATAGTTGGAATTACACGGTGAAGAATCTGAGCAGTACGGTTCTGACTGTGAAGCTTGCGACGGTGGCCGGAGCGGCGTTGATCAGTGGGCTAGAGAATTATGCGCTGGTTCCGGTTGATCTCGCCACGGTTCCCGAACAAGGTATAGGAAATTTTCCACTCTTCCAAACACCATGCTTTTTTTTTAAAGGATTTGAGATGAAATAGAAGGGGATAATTGTGATTATTTCCATGATTGGAAAAAGTTATTGACTTTGACTTGTTAAAATCGCGTTTGGTTGGACAGTTGGTTTTCTTTCACTTTTAATCCCGGCAAATTTCTTAACGAGTGAAACAAGTAGTAATTAAAATAGTTGTAATTCTTTTGGAAGGATTTTATTATGACTGGGAAAAGACCTGAAGATTATAAAGTTTGTTTGGATGTTGAGAAAATGCAGGGAAGTGTATGTATTTGGGTTCCAGAAAAGGAAAGATATTTCCTCAAGGAGCCTAATAGTACTACCCTTTTTTTTTTGTTTTGCTTAAGCCTAATACTACTAGTTATTGGGCTTTTATAGCTCTTAAGCAATGAGAATTGAATGGAAAAAAAAAAGGGAAGTTTAGGGTTGGTTTCTTTGCTTTCTCGGCAACCAAAGTTAGAACAATTTCTTTTTTAGTATAGAAATGAACAAGCAGCAGTGGTGGAAGTAGAAGTAAAAGACTATGGTGGTCTATGTAAAAAGTTAAGGCGTGCATTAATAGATAAAAACTATTTTTGGGCTTACATATGTAGTTGCTAGTATCTTTTATTGCCAAAATAATGCCTCAATACCAGTTAGCTTCTTTTTCAATATAAGGCGTATTGATGGAGTGTTCTTCTGCAGTTTTTGCTATGAGAGCATTGAAAGACTCACTTCGTGTTCCTGATAGAATGGGTTGGAATGGTGATCCTTGTGCTCCAACCAGTTGGGATGCTTGGGAGGGAGTTACGTGCCATGTCAACAAGAATGGGACTGCCCTTGTCATATCTCAAATGTAAGCGTCCACTTTACTTTCTATTTCGATTCCCAATGGCTACTATTGTGGAGGACTTAATCGATTTGAAAGACTAAACAACGGAATTAGGATATAGCACGTGAAGGTGAAGCACTCGATTATAAACCTTTCACTAATCGATGAGCAGCAAATGCACCTTACAGATCCAAACTATATGAGAAATTATGATGCATGAGCATACTTGAACATGGGGGCGGGCTACATGTCTTGGGCCTTGAAGAAGTGCATGAGCCTGTCTGTTGGGTGCGCCCGTGGATTCTTAAAGGACTCCGTGAAGTAAAGGATCAAACGAGTAGTGCTTGGGGTGGATTCCCGAGTCTCATCTTGAGTGGTGTTTGAAGAATTTGATTGCGCCTCTCCTATCAATTGTAATTTTTGGGAGGAATGATTGTGCCACTTCTACATCGAATTATAACTAATATAGTTTAGCAACCAGCCAATTGATAATATCTTTTAAGCTGCTTCATGTTGGCCTTATTTCATTAATTTTCCATTTTTGTTTCAAAGCTTTCATCTTAACCATTACTTATTCACTCCTGATTTTGATTGTTGCAATATATTTCAGAGACCTTGGGAGTCAAGGTTTGAAAGGGTATATCAGTGACCAGATTAGTCTCTTGTCAAACTTGGTAAGCCTGTAAGTACCATCTGCCTACTTTTTGACCATTGAGCATCCTTTCACTTCTTATCTTTGCAATGTTGAGGGAGCATGTTGTGCTATTATTTCTCACTATATTTCTTTATCCAGGGGTATGTATCTTTGTTGCTGCTGATCAGTCATACATACTATGTCTTCTATAAACTCGTGGCATTACCTACCTTTTTTCTTTTGATTTTCTTTCTTCAATAAGAATTTCATTATTTACTGGTCCGGTCATGGATTCTGATAACCTGAACGAACAAAATCTCTCTAATTAGCCTTAATCCAAGTTTTTTTGTATGGCTAGCAAAACTATGGTGACAAAGAACACCGTGCATGTTATGCCAGATTCCAAGTAATGCAGTAAGGCTAAACCTTCGCATAGATTTTCTTGATTGGAATCTACTATCTTCTAGAATGTATTTATGCATGTTTGGAAACCATGATAAACATTCTTGATTAGATAATTGTTTGTAGATTGACATCGATACATTTTTGCTACCGCATGTCTCGAGAATGGAAAGCGTTGTAATTGAATTTGACTATCTGAGGTCGACTCTTTCAGTAATAGACCAGTCAAATTGCTTTTTTTGTCTCTCCTTTACTTTTATATTCTGCACGTTTCTTCTATAATGTTTGTTTAGGTTTCATCCCCGTTGTTTCTGATTGTATACTTAATGCATAATTCACTTCTTATGCGTGCAATTTATCATTTAGAAACTATTTCTTTTATTGTTTTGTAGTAACTTGAGCTCTAATTCTTTGGAGGGCACGTTACCATCTGGATTAGGTGAAAAGTCTTTGTCTCGGATGTAAGTATCAGCGTTATAACATTATAGTAATGATTATATTTGGTTTGTTCTGGTTTTAACTTAATTTTAACTTGAGCTTCAAAACTTTCTTTTTTTCTTTTTAAGTTTTAACATGTAAAAATCTCATTTCATCTATGATTGATGCATCATCTTTGTTGGAGATGTGGCTTTTTCTTATTAGAAAAGCGTATGGTCAAAGTTAACATGTTTTAAATTTTTAGCTGTCTTTTTTTTTTTTTTTACTTTTTTTTCTGAAGATTTTTGTGCTGTTCTACAAATATATATATGAAAGGATAAGGGTGTGGGCGGTACTCTTTCATCTGCTTGTACTCTTAAATAGCCCATTTATTTCACTTTTGAAGTTTGAAAGGAAAATTTTTTCCTAGTTAGCTTAGTTCAATATTTTATTTGGTTTCATTTTTATGTTTTCTTTTTTCATTTTTTTTTTCGTTATATATGCTTTTATATTATATACTTTTTCCCCCGGGACCTTGTGCTCTGTAGGGATTTGTCAGACAATCAGTTCACAGGATCCATACCTGAAACTTTAACAACTTCATCGCTGCAGCTTGTGTAAGTGTATTACCCCTATTTATTATGATCCACTTGGCATTTCTGAAACTTATATGTTCAAATTGAAAAGTTATTCTTAATTTCATTATTCAAGTTATATTTCTAGATTATTCCTAGACATGTTTCCTTGTATTTGATCAATTTTTGAATGTAAGGAAGTTTTCTTATAAAAAGAAAATTATCATTGAAATACATGCTGAACAATTGCTTAAAACCATCTAAACATTAACTGAATATTTTATGCGGTATGAACAAACGAATCCACTCTCCTTTTACTCCACCTGTTCCCTTAGAAATAGAAAGAAATAAGCATTTATATCCATTTGAATGGGACAAATTGCACTATACTTCTAAGTCCGACCCTTTAATTGTCGATTTGTTTGCTGAACCTAATACATTGAAAAGGGAATTTGATCTGACTTTCTGAAAGGGGATTTGAACTGTCTATTGGGATAAAAAGTGAAATCATCTCCATTTGAAAGGGAGGTTTAAATTGTCCACTTATGTGCTGAACCAAAAACATTTTTCTGATTGTCCTTCTATAACATATTTTCTTTTAACAGGCTATTGAATGATAACTTATTGGAAGGACGAGTACCAGAGGAACTATATTCAATTGCTGTGCATGGTGGAGCTATAGAGTATGTCATAATATTTCCATCCTGCCTTAATTTCCGATTCTTTTAAAAAGACAAAATAAACAAATATGTGAAATTATGAATACCGTGGCAAGTATCTGTGGTCAACTCGATAACCGTAGATTATATTTATAGATTCGCGAACCTTGGATCTCTTTTTACAAGACAGCTGCCCAGGTGTGGGTGGCTTCCTTTCAAAAGGCATTCTGTGGCTTCCTTTCAAAAGGCATTCTGTGGCTTCCTTTCAAAAGGCATTCTGTGGTGTGCTCTGCCCTAGTTTTGACCTTCCTTCTCCCTTTGTGTGCTTGTTCTGGGGGAAAGAGATTGTGATGAGGAACAAATGCAGACCTTGATTATTTATTAATGATAGTTAAATTAAAATTACGCGAGCCTTCTCTATCTTAAGTTCTTTACTCTTTCCTTTCTTCCTAAATGTCTCTTCTCCCTTCTTCATACGCCTTGCATCAGATTGTTCGTTAAAAGTAGCATCTCACTTCTTTTGGTGCATGTTACTGTATGGAACACATTTTCCTAAATTTTCTTTAAGTTACTACATTTGAAAAACAAGAACAATTCCGTTGCCTGCATCAATCTAGAAGTTGTAGAAGTATGTATAAAAATATTTAGCCTTTCCTTCACGGGTATCTACAGTACAAATTACAACCAGTTTTCAGTAATTCAAACTTTTTAACGAGCGTCCTAAGTTCGGAGATTTTCCATTGTTGTCTTCTTCTTTTTAATCTCGTTTGTAAGACATGATTGAGCCCACTTACTAAAAAGAAGATTGACAATAATGTTTTTTCCATTTTTTTTTTATGACAGTCTCTCTGGAAACAAAGGGTTATGTGGAGTGCCATCTTTACCAAATTGTCCTTTATTTTGGGAAAATGGTGGCTTGTCTAGTAAGGGAAAAATTGCAATAGGAGTATCGAGTGCTCTCATTTTCTGTGTGCTGTTGTTAGTTGTGTACATCTTCTGCATTCGAAGGCGAAGAAATGATTACGACTTTGGACTGCCTCAGGATTTGATGTGTAAGTATGCTTTCCAGTCTATTTAAGTTTTTACCAATTATTTTCTTTCAGAAAAAATAGTTCCTCCATTCTTTTTCTATCTTGAATTGGTAACTGAATATTGGTATCCCCTGCGGTTGATACGACAATAATCTGTTCGTATTAGTCTTTTTATTTTTAATCTAATAAGCACATTGCAAGAGAAGACGGTGCGTTTCAATGTTCTTTAAAAGCAGAAAATGAAATAAAAGCTCCACTTGTGAGGAAAAAAATGGTTTCAACTTTTGGTTGGCGTATGACTGTCTTGGCTTGGTTATTTGAGCATGATTGGAGTGTTCCTCCTTATTTAACACTTCAAGAAGGATGGTTTTGTCAATAACTTGGATCTCCACTTCACAAACTACTTACTTTTCTTTGTTTCAGTCTTTTAAGGGGTGAAATTTTTGGCATCTAACCTGTTGGTTATATGATTTCTTGTTTGGACTACAAGTGTGTTCCACTGTCAAATTTTGATTTTTTGCCATCTTAGAAATCACAAGATTGCTATTGTTGTACGACTTTCAGTTACCAAAGTGACTCTTTCTTGATGCATTCCTTATGGATTATACTTCTATTGTTAAGATGCAATTTCATTTAATGCTAGTTCTTAGCATGCAACTGCTTGTAGGCGTCTAATTTTTCATCAGACAACCAAACATATTCTGCGGCTCACGTAGGAATTTTAAGCATTTTATGTCTGTTTAGATATTATGCATCTACTTGGACTTCTCTACTAATAACTCGACTATAATTTCATACTTTATGCCTACTTCGCAGCACTTTATGCAAAGAGAAATAGGTATCAGAGACAAAAATCATTGATGCTTCTTGAGATGGAGAGTCAACATGCCAAGGCATTGCCAACACCTTATACTCAATAACTGATTTTCCCCAAAAAGGAGAATCATGATACCAAAAGATATAGCATTTCTCTGCTTAATTAACTAGAAGACGTATAGAAGGGAATTTCTTGAGGCCTAATTTTTTGATTGCGATATGAGAGCAGGCTCTGCGGCTGATTCAGAACTCGGAAGGTTAGATTTCATCATGGTTTTGGCTTTTTCCAACTTTTTGTTCTTGGAATGAGATGCTCCGGATACAGTCTCTGCAGGATGCAATGTATCGGAATATATGCTTTACATACTGACCCCAACACACAAGGCATCACCAGCCTTTGCTTCCCTTCCCAGTTCCCTCAATGTAACATACCCACGTGGCTTTTGCTGAGTATCTGATGTGAATTCAATTCATAGTTCAATGCATGGAATAGAACTACACAAAAATGGACCAACTGGTCCTGGATTTTACTTTTAACTAACATGATCATCAACTTTAGTTCTTTCTAATTTGACCATGTTGAAAGGGCTGATTGATTAGCCTTGTACTAGTGTTTATTTTGAATTTTTGACCTGTAACGTGTACTCCTGTAATGAAAATTTCAGAGCTAAATTAATTGCCCTCTTGGTTTTTCTCTTTTATGGAGTAAAAAACAAGACGACACTTGAGATAATAACATATATATATTCTTTTATTTTTGTTCTTTTCAATTATGTGGATTTCTAGTGTCATTATGAATTAAGAGCTTGTTTTGGTAGGAGGGAAATGTGGAAAAATTAGGACTTACAGTCATTTGGTAGGTCTCGTTTATTTTACCGATTTGAGTTTTTAATTTTAGGTTTTTACAGTAAAAAGTTTTTAAAAAATGTCACATTTAATTTTTTTTTCTACAGTAAAAAGTTCTCAAAAAAATGTTACATCTTAATTCGAATTAAAAACTCGAATTTGCGAAGTGAATGAGGTATAAATATTAATCTCTTATGCTTATAGAGACCAAAAATTAAACCAAAGAGACAAATTTGCGCAGGTTGGCATTAATGTCATGCTAACTTTGAGTGGGTGTGACGAAAGTGAGAACAGCAGCAAATGCATGTTTTTGAATAAACAAAAGGAATCTCTGATGGTTTCACACACATGATTTGTGACAAAATGTCAAAACGTTTAAATTAGTGCAAATGGTTAAAAATTTAAGAAGTCTATACATAACACGGACTTGATTTATGATTTTAGTAACAGGATCCACGTTGCTACAGCTACTTATCTACTCCATCAGTCATGGCCGCTGTTCTTTTGACTGGTTCTTTTCTTCTCCTTATTCAACAAATATCATTTTTTTTTAATGTTCAACAATAATCATCATATTATTATAAAAATATTGATCACCCTTGCATGTCCTTAAATGCTTCGTACATCAAGTAACAGGTACTGGGGAGCATTTAACATCAAGTACAGGTACTGGGGAAAAATAAAAATAAAAAAATAAACAGACTGATAATTAAAGCTACGTTTGTTTTAAAGATTTTGATTATGGTTCTTGATTCTTATTCTGATTTTGCTACGGTATTTTTCTTTTATAAAAAATTTAAATTTTAAAAATTAAAATTATGAATAATAATTTTAAATCCATAAATCAAACATCACCTTAAGCATTTATGAGTACTTTCCTCATCACATGATTTACACCAGAATAAAGTATGCTACGGTATTTTTCTTTTATAAAAAATTTAAATTTTAAAAATTAAAATTATGAATAATAATTTTAAATCTATAAATCAAACATCACCTTAAGCATTTATGAGTACTTTCCTCATCACATGATTTACACCAGAATAAAGTATGCTTGCGATTTTTTTTTTTGAATAATTTGATGAGATTTGAGATTAGGAAAGTTTATTAATACCGATTTGAGGATTAAGATGTAGAAGAAAACTAATTAAGCTTAAATATATTCAGCAACACTATCATTTTTAATTTGTTTATAACATGGGTTTAACTTAAAAGGAAAGGCCTTTTACTCAAACCAGAAAAGAAAGAAAAAAAAATCAAAAGGTAGAAATCTGTTTACACCTCACCAGTCAGCTTCCAAATTATATGTCAATCTGGGTCAGGTCCAAATAAAACAGTGTTTATAGAACATGTATGCCTCGACCAAACAAAATGTGTGGTTTACAATTGTTTTGAAAGTCAGAATAAATTATACATACGTTGCATTGAATTCTGACCTTTGACTTCCCAGCAAACAACCATGAACCCCAAGTTTACCGTTCTTTATTACATAAATACAGATACAAGTGTGATAATATATGAAAGTCTCTTTGATGGTTTTTATTGATTCAGATTTTTCTTTAAAAAAAGGAAGACTTGACAAAAGAACTACCCGGCACTTATTTGTTTTATCTTTTATGTGTGCTTTTTAATGATATTAGTTCCGCTTCTGAATGATGAAACTCTATTGTGCCTTTTGACAATGAACTCAAAAGTTCAGATATATTAATCAAAAGATTAAAGTGCATACACTTTATTATGTTATATGTGGGTAATTAGTGGGTGGATAAAGCATGTTGTAATTCCATACATGTAATTCACCTATAGGGAGTGAGTCCACTATCTATAAAAAAAAAAGGGTTAGCCCACTATCTTGTGCCCTAATTTGATAACATTTCCATCTGATATTGGAGAGCATTAGTTATTGTGGAAGAACCAATTTAACAATCTAATGATTCAGTGTTAGCCATAAAACACATGACAAATCTTTCCGGCCACAAACAAAAAAAGAAACTTTATTCAAAATTTCTTTTTTTTTTTTGCTCAATTCATCGCAATGCTATATATATCTAAGTTGACATTGTTTCTTATTAATTGCAAATTTTTATCCGTACCTAGTTTATCTCATATGGGTTTAGTCTTGGGGTTTCCAGCATGAGAATCAAAGAAATAAGAGGGACAAAGTTGGAGTTGTTTTAGAGGCTCATCGAGACAGTCAATGTAAGAAAAAAAAATATTAAATAAGGAAAGCAAAAGAGGGAGAAATCTTCTCTTGCTTTTCTTCAGGAGTCTCAATTTGAATGATATTAGACTTTCTAATGAAGGATGAATATATATAATAATCATACAAGTTGGTCTCAATTAGTATTAATTTAAATACTCCTGACCTTCTCTCCTCCTAACTCTTATTTGGTTCCAAAAAAAAAAAAAAAAAGCCATTTAAACCTTGCTTTCTGAGAGAAGTTAAAAGTAATCCGAAAGTAAAATTTCCCTGCATGCATACAATTATACTTTCTTCCAAAATCTTTTATCATTTATTGTTGTTTTGAAAAACTTATAAAGACATTATTAAGTGGACCCTAAAAAGGCACTTGCTTCTTCATTCATGGGCTAGCTCTAAACCAATTACAATCCCAAGTAGTCACTACTCGACTAGCTAGTTATCACCCACCCGTAATAATTAAATCTTTGTTTAAGAAACTTGAAGCCACAAAAATCTTTTGACTTTATGCCATTGCATTATCTTCTACATAATCCAAAACCGAACCAATTGCCATCTTTAACAACCCCAACTTGCGTATTACATTGCTGAAATTTTCCGTAAACAGAGAATCAATTATAGTCTGTCCTATATAGCTAATTGGCGTAGACGGAAAAGGAGAAACTAGCTTTGCATTTACTTGACTTGGTTGACCTCGATTTTTGCACATCAAAGATTCAAGGTCTCTCCACCACAATGATGCCATAACTTTCTCCACTAGCCTCCACTCTCCCATCTTCCCTCATAATAATCTTACACCAAATAATATAATATACACATACATACTAATTAACTGTATGTATGTATGTATGTATGTATGTATGTATACGAATTGGCAAGTAGTAGTATGGGAGGTGACGATTGACAGAGATAGATAAATGCTTATCTGCAAGAGAAGAAGAAAACAAAAGAAATGTCATTGCTAATGCTAATGCTGGCCAACCACAACACACAAGTTGCGAAAACTTATTTTGACTTTGCAACGTTTAATTAGTTTATGCGTGCGTGCCATGTCGGCAACATAACCTCAAATAAATAGTCCACTTGTAATTCTTCCCTATTATATATATGTATATGTATATATATGTATGCATGTATATATGTATATTGGGGGGCCCACTTAAGTTTTGTGATATTGGAGAGAGCTTAAATAATGTTCATCTATAATTGGATTAATTTCTGCATGTGATTCAATTTGTTGACCAGATTATGATTTGTTATAATTAGTTGGTGCTTTCTCTTGATTATCATTAGGATATTGGTATAACTCTTTTCCCTTTTATTTGTCATGCACTCACTAAAATAAACCTATTGTCTTGAAGAAAGTTACCTTAATTATTTTCCTTATATACTTTTTTACCTTTTGCGCTCTACTTGGATTCTATTGTATTTTTATTTTTATTGCATTTCTTAGGAATAAAATGATGGGACCTTCTCTGGTACGTTAATATACTGGTAGGTTAAGTTTTCTGTTTGATGAATTTGCATAAAATCATATAAAAGTTAAAAAGTACGCAGATTCAACAGTTTAAAAAAATTGACATATACTGGTACGTCAGGCGTATAGAAAATCTCTCTAAAAGGATTAGAGAGGATAATTGAAGATTTATTTAAGGAGCCTAAATAGGACCCGAGAATACTAATTTCCATAGTAAAATTAGATGATAATTTATCAAGAAATTAGCATGAGTAGCCTCCGTACTATTCATGAATGATGATGGGTGTGGTTATGGGGGATCATAAGAAGAGGTCAAATCATATCAAACAACTGCAGAAGATAATGGAACAAAAAAGCACTATTATTCTCTCCCTGAGAAACTTCTCCAAATTAGCATCATAACGAAATATTGAAATAGAATTACACACGACTATTTTCTAGCCAAAAAACAAAAAAATTTATACGCGACTACGATAGTCTTTGAAATCAGCAGGGATTTCACCACAATTTGATTAGGTCAAATTCAGTGAGACCCCATTTATTTAATTCGTGGGTCCAGATCGTCCAAAGTTCTACACAATCTAGAAGCTCAAAATATTCTGTATTTTTTGTGTGGCAAATAGTACTCTAAAACCCTAGGAAAGACCAACTTGGAGTCTACGCGATACAAATGAGACAATGTGTCATGGCAAGTTTCAAAAATATACTGAACGGAAGAGTAATACAGACGGTATAAAATCACCAAACTAGATTAACTGGTGTATGTGACCTCACCGAAATTAATCTCTCGATTACGTATAAAAATTATTGTAAACGAAAAAAAACAAAGAATACAAAGAATTTATAGTGTTTCAACTTCAATAGAGTTAGGTTTATTATGGTGCTTTAGGGAGATTCATTTCGAGGAATTACATGTGTATACTGCTCGAGAGCTAAAGTAACGAAGTTAGAGCCTTTTTTTTACATTAAAAAAATGGAGTTGCCTCCTATTAATTGTGACCATTTATTGAAAAAATAAATAAATAATCTTCAAATATATTCGTTGGCATTGTACTTGATTTTGCTAATTTCAGAGCTTATCTTTATTATCTGACTCTGTATTTTAATCACATGATTTTAAGTATTCTCATAATTTTCGGCCTATATTTTTTTTATAAAAGAAAATGAGATTTTTTAATTATTAAATCTGTATAA